AACATTGAAGTGAACTAGATCGAGGTTGTCTTACAATTTTACGGTCTTCCAGAAAAGCTTATAAAAATGGGTTGGCTAAAAAATCAAAACAAATAAAAAAAAAAAAAATGTGTGTGCTTCAAGATGCCGTACGTTTTTTTTGTTTTTTTTTTATCTCTCATCCGCCTAATATTATCACATTTTGTCAAACACGTCGACTCACTTGAATTTACACCAAAAAAAATTAAAAAGAAATTATCGTTCATTTAACGATGACTTACCTACGCGTATGCTTCTTGTGTCCTCGTCGATTTTATCGTCTCCGTCATCATCTGAAATATTTAATTTTTTTTTTTAAATTAACTTTTTTTTTTTAAAATCTCGTCCACTGCATGGCTCAAGTATTGCAATGTATACTAACATAATTAAGTTGTATGACTTCCATAGCATAGTTACCGAAAATTTGAGCGAAATAAATTTCGTCGACGGTAAACTGATCGACGGAAATTTTATCGAACGGAAATTTGGTCGAATCTTTTTTTTTTTTTTCAGTTCACACGTTAAAATTTTTGTCAATTTCTTTTTGAACGCACTATGCTATTCAGTAAAACAAAATAATGCGTTCAAAAAGAAATTTGAAGCAAAATTTTAAAGTAAAGACTGAAAAAAAGATTCGACCAAATTTCCGTTCATATCAAATTGCCGTCGATCAATTTACCGTTGACGAAATTTCGTTCGACCGAATTTCCGGATACGCCATTAGCATAGCAACGCCTTTGAGTAGTAAGCGTACTCGACCAGTAAGCGTGAGACCGAAAATAGGTCAGACTATAAAAATAGTGACATAAATTTTGTTATAAAACTGATGTTAAAACGCATATACCTTAAAATCAATTAGGTTATTTTTTTTAAAAGAATTAAATATTTATTGATTAAGTGACAATTTAATCGTGATCTAGGAAAAAGATTTACACAATTTAATGTGATATAGAAGAAGAAGAGAAGAAGATATATCAACAATTTTTTGTGATCTACGAAAAGTTATAAACAGTTATGATCGAGGTGAAAAAGATTCACTGTAATGTTTTGTTTTTTGTTTTTTTTTTAAATTTTATTTTTAGTTTTTTTAAATAGAAATAATCAGAAAGTGCCGTGTTTTTACAATCAAGACATTCAATTTGCTCTTGTCACCTGATGTGTCGTGCACCTCTTCGTCAATCTGACCATCACAGTCATTATCAACCTGATCATCTATAGCTCCTAGAGTTTTTAGACATTCCTGTTTAAAAAAAAAAAGAATCAAGGAAAAATTGATGTTTAATGCTGCCCCCCCCCCATTCCCGCCCCAGCCCCTTAACTATAAGATAAATATGGAATTTTTTTTTTTAAAAGTTGCATTTAATCCATTTAAACAAGTAGCCGTTCCATTTCGAACAAGTGCATTGTATGTTTCACGGAAGTAGCGACCTTTTCGAGGATTCGCGAATGCTTATATGTCGTGACTGCTACGTTGTTTAGAAACGATACCGTCCTTGTCCAGTAGCATTTTTCTCTTGGCCTTTGTGATTTTTTTTTTTAAACTTTATTTTTTTAAAAAAATAATTATTAATGAATATTATTCACTCTTTTGTTTTTTTTTTTTTTTTTTTTAAACTTTATTTTTTTAAAAAATTAATTATTAATTAATTTTATTTACTTTTTTTTTTTTTTTTTTTACCTCATTACGTTATAGTAAAAAGTAAACAATAATAAGTAGATTTAAAAAAAAAAACTAATAAAAAATAAAATTTAAGATTATTATTTCATAATTTTTTTTACTTCATTATGTTGAGCAATAACTTTAGAATAGGGAAGATGGTCTGTTAGTCGCAGCCACAAAGAGCGGCGCCAGGGGCGAAGAGTGAAGATGGCGCCCACCATTAAATAGAAAATGTTGCCATCAGCCACCGGGGCTGACATTTAAAGAGTTGATTTAGCGCGCCCCATGTCCTTATGAAATACGCGAGCTGTATCACTAAATTCAATTTACATGTCCTATCTAAAGACGACTTTTAGCACCCCCAGGGGCGAGAAGAAAATGGAATCGGATCGTTACCTATGTATACGTTTGTATTTACAAAAGGACGCCCCCACCCCCCCCCCAACTCCATAGCATGGAGGCCATAGCTACCGAAATTTCATACTTTCTTGGTTCATTAATATATATATATTTTAATGCACGCGAAAAATAAGTAAATAAAATATACAAAAACTTCCTAGCCATAGAACATCACAAATCTTGTTAAACGAAAGAATATAAAAAAAAAAAAAATTCAAATAACATCTATTCCTCCTTTAAAAAAAATTGCCATGGCTATTCACATGAAATGATTGTTAAAAGCCCACTTTTGGCATCTTCCGACTTTATGGACCCTAAGAATCGCATTGCACCGAGATGTCTTTTTAATGTATGTGGCTTAATCAGCACCAAATGATAACCGCCATACGCTAGTTTGCAACCGTGTGTGCTTTCGCGTGTGCTTAAACCTTTCCAAGTCGTCAGCTCAGTCCACCTAAATGTGCAACGGATTCCACGGCATGTTAGTATCAGCGGCATTGAAAAAGACACTCTGGCGAAAACCGTGGCTGCCCAGCCGCAGTCAGATGTACCAGTGTGACTTATATGGCAGACCGCTTCAGAACGGAAATGGTGCCGGCAGTGGGCAGACAGCACGACAGGCAGTGGGCAGACAGCACGACAGGCAGTGGGCAGACAGCACGACAGGCAGTGGGCAGACAGCACGACAGGCAGTGGGCAGACAGCACGACAAGCAGTGGGCAGACAGCAACGACAACCAGAGGCGTTTTCGCAAAATTGTCATCCCCTAGCAGACAAGACCCATGGTGGTGGTTACGTCGCGGGCAGCAGAGTCTAGTGACACAGGTGCGCACCGAGCTCTGTCCCATCGGCACATACGTTAACAGGCTAGATCGTAACAGGGGCCCTACCTACCGGCATTGCAGCCTGGTCCCTCACTAGATGTTTGGGGGGGGGGTGGGGTGTCAGGGTGGTGATAAAGCCTACGTGAGGCGAATTTTATGTGGCTCAGCTCAACAGACGGGGTCATAAGAGAGCAATCTCTGACCCTCATCAGACTATGTGTGTTAGTTGATATTCAGTCCTGCGTGAAATTTAAAACAAAAAATTATATATATATCTATTCCAAATATTGAGCTCACATGGAATCCCACTGGGTGCATGTACGACTCCCCCGCGCCTTTACCAAACAGGTAGCAACCGAATCGCGCTATAGGGTTCGTCGTCAGAGTGTTCACTCCTTTCGGGACCATCAAATTAATGATCTGGTACTCTCCGTCCCCGGGGACGTTGTACCAGGTGAGACTGGGGACAAAAAACAACCAACGAATTGATTTATTAAGACAATAAAATAACCCTGTGCCGAGTGACTTCCAACACATGATTTCAACTGGCCGCAAGCATCAAGTGACTATTAATTTTACGCTTAAACTAATTTGGGTACTGCCTGAAGAAGAGAAAAAAAAAATTTGGAAGAAACTAATTTAAAAAAAAAACAACACAAGACTATTTTTAACCCGTAGTTTAAGTTAAAAATTAACGAAGTGTTGAAATTCATCAACTGGTTTTTTGAAAGCACAAAAATTAAAATAGATCATCTGATATTAATCTGAAGTTGTTGGAAAAAAAAAAGTTAACTATACAGAACGATTTTAATTCTGATGAGGTATTTATTGCGCCGAAAAATAAAAAAAATAAAATAAGGAATCTTTGTTTTGACTTTTTAAAACTTTTTTAAACTATTATTTTTTTTTAAAAATATAAGACGTCTTCGGATGGTTTTGTATGGTCAGAGTTTCTCAAAATAAACAAATTGAATGAGTTTTAGCAGAGGCCGTAAGTTAGTAAAAAGAAACAATTTCGAATGAAGTAACGATTTTGCTGAGTTAACAAAAAAGTTAACTACATCGTATAGGAGAAACAGACACGCGGTATGCTTGTAGGACGACTTAACAGTTCTCAAATTGACACAGGTCAGGTATCAAACTATAAAGACAAAGTCTTCAACAGGTGGCGTGTTTCCTAAAAATGAGAGAGCCATTCAATCAGTGCGCGCTCACTTAGTCACCATCAATGAAACACTTACTTAGTCACAATCAATGGAATACTCTTTTAGTCACAATCAATAGAATACTCCCTTAGTCATAATGAAAGTATGTTCACTTAGTCATAATCAGTGCATGCTCACTTTGTCACAATTAATGCAATGATCACTTAGTCACAATCAATGTAATACTAACTTAGTCACAATCAACGTCATACTCACTTAATCACAATCAATTTTAATGCGTACTTAATCGCAATCCATGTCATATACTCACTTGGTCACACTCACTGTAGTGCTCTTGGTCACGACCGGGACGCTGTTCAGTTCCAGTTGAGATTTGGCGGTGCTCTGGATCACGACGGTGGCGTAGTCAGTCGTGTTAGTGTGGGGGGTCCTGTCGACAAGGGGAATAAGTCACACATGATTGTCTTCTAAATAAAGCCTGTGACGTATCATAAACACAGTTGTATATGTTATGATGTTGTTACTTGTAGGGTTGTCATTATCACTTAAACCATACTGTGCATCCACATTTTCATACGTCCGCCATGTTTATCCAAATAAGCACCAGAGGAATTAGCATCACGACTTGTATTGACTGATGAACGGACACACAATAAAAACAAGATCTCTGTAGATCAGAGTAAAATATAATCCTTCATACAACCTCTTCTGTTTCACAAAATGAGCATCAAGATGCTATTAATAACAAAAATGAACATGGCCAGCGCCAAATATCTGAATCCCTGCAAAACATTTATGGCCGTTACACTTCCCATAATTCCTCACTTCCTGTTATTTCTATTTAACAAAACAATACATTATTTTTACAAAACAAAACTGATATCTGAATATTAGACATGTGACAAAGCCCATCACATTGATCTGTCCCGTCCCTTCGTTATTTTTAAACTAGGTCGTTGAAATCAAACTTAAAAAAATAAATCTTGAATGCTTTAAAAGGATGAAGGAGATGCTACTCTTCAACTCAAGAGTGTATCTATTTTGAACTGCTCATATGGATGACGGAGAATTCATTGTGCATTAGTTTTATTTATGGCTCATTATAACTTAATATGGGGGAGATTCTGAAACGATTCGGTTACAGGAAATTTGTTTTAAGGAAATTTCGTCGAAGGAAATTTGATCGGACGGACATTTTGATAGAATTTGTTTTTTCAGTTCACGTGATCTCATTTTGCGTCAAGTTTCCTTTTGAAAGCATTATTTTGTTTTAATATATAGTATAGTGCATTGAAAAAAAAATGCACAATTTTTAGAAACTTATCACCAACTGTACCAAATGTACAACTATTTGAAACTTGCTACCAACTGTACCTACTGTAAAACTATTTGAAACTTACTATCAACTTTACCAAATGTACAACTATAATTTGAAACTTGCTACCAACTGTACCTACTGTAAAACTATTTGAAACTTACTATCAACTGTACCTAATGTACAACTATTTGAAACTTACTACCAACTGTACCAAATGTACAACTATTTGAAACTTACTACCAACTGTACCAAATGTACAACTATTTGAAACTTACTACCAGCTGTACGTAAGGGGAAACTATTTGAAACTTAATACCAACTGTACCAAATGTACAACTATTTGAAACTTGCTACCAACTGTACCTACGGTAAAAATATTTGAAACTGACTACCAGCCGTACGTTACGTACAACGTACCTGATGTACAACTATTTGAAACTGACTACAAGCCGTACGTTACGTACAACGTACCTGATGTACAACTATTTGAAACTTACCAGCAACCGTACCTAATGTACAGTTGTTTGAAACTTACTACCAACTGAACCTAATGTACAACTGTTAAATCTATAAAAATGATATATATCTGGAGTGGTAGAGGATTTAAGTTTTAAGGCACGGGCCTCGGTTAGGGAAACGCTTACATCCAGATGTACCGCACGTAGAACAAAGTGTTCGGTATGATGAGCGACAGTGTCGAGTCTCCCTTGTCCACGGACTGGTCAACCGTCTCGAGGCAGGGCGTCAGCTGCAGTAGAACAACTTGGACGGGCTTAGAGGTCTGGATCCGAAATCCTGCACGGTCGCTGTTCTTACCACGATGGTACTGCGAAAAAAACAACAGCAACAAAACATTAGGACTTCTTCAAGCAGGATTTCTTTCATCTATATCTCCGTTGGGGGGGGGGGGCACTTTCCCCGGGGAAAATAGTCAAAATGGCTGTGCGGTGACAGGATTAAACTCAAGAGTGGGGTTGGGATAGAAAAAGTTCAAGAACTCAGTCTATGCTGAGAATGAATATTTTCAATATAATCATAACACATTGCGAATTTCACTCCAGGAACAAGTCGTGGAAGTGAAGGATGGAAGTGGAGAATGGAAGTGAATGGTGGAAATGCAGGGTGGAAGGGACAAAACGCAGCCGAGATTCCCCCATTCCCAAAATTCCCCCATTCCCAAAATATGTATATGCATTTGTTAAATAATGAAAACTAACGTACAGGAAAGTGGTTCTCCATGTGGGCGCAGGACTAGAAGGCCGCTTTGCATCAATGAAAAAATATGACTCTCCTCACATGGAACCTGAATATGTAAAGCACCAAAGAGTTCGTGGGAGATTTTTCTATTTCATTTTGTTTGTAATGTGGGAGAAACACAAACTACTTGACCGCTTTACCACATGCATCCCTCCCGTGTTCAGAGTGACATCTTGGTGACTACTAGGGGTTCTGATGTTGACCTGCGTGTCGCTCTCAATGGCCGTGATGTAAAACTCGGCCAAATCATCAATGAGTGGAATGTACAACCCGATGAAATCCGTGCCAAGGGATTTAGCCTCCAGGAGCATTTCTGTAAGGGGGAAAGGTGAAGTGTGGGATTATTTATCAGGCCTGCACAACATACGGCCAGCGGGCCACATGCATCAAGCCAGCACCCACTTTGCGGCCCGCGAAGTAACGAAATACTCTTTACTCTCAGCACTTTCATAAAAGCTTTCCCAATTTCCTACTTTCTTTCACAAGTCCTTTACTTTTTTCTTTTGGCCCGCGCAAGTCCTTTACTTTTTTCTTTTGGCCCGCACAAGTCCTTTACTTTTTTTCTTTTGGCCCGCACAAGTCCTTTACTTTTTTCTTTTGGCCCGCGCAAGTCCTTTCCTTTTTCTTTTGGCCCGCGCAAGTCCTTTACTTTTTTCTTTTGGCCCGCACAAGTCCTTTACTTTTTTCTTTTGGCCCGCACAAGTCCTTTACTTTTTTCTTTTGGCCCGCACAAGTCCTTTACTTTTTTCTTTTTGCCCGCACAAGTCCTTTACTTTTTTCTTTTGGCCCGAACAAGTTTTTCATAAAGTATTACGACACGCCTTACGTTTTGAGTTGTGTATACCTGATTTATAAGATTCAACTGTCACTGTTCAGCAGAGGGAACGCAACATGTCACGAGAAAGTGTTGTGAAGAATTCTCAGGGATAGTTTGCTTCTGGTGTGTCATGCTTCCCTTTTCGAAAACGCGACCACCGTCCCCAACTCCCCCCACCCCCTCGACCTGCACGTTTTTTATTTAAATAATACTGAGTGAAAACAAATACGTCATGCGTGACGTGTGAACACTGGTGAATTTCAAGAGGTGGGGGGGGGGAGCGATTATTATATTATATATTATTATATTAATCTAATATAATAGTCGCCTCCCCTGAAATAGTGAGCACACGGGTATAGTGTAGGACTGTCTGTGGGGCTATTGTTTGAAGTCCGAAACTTCCGGTGTAGAACTGGAAGCTAGGTTACAGGACTGCCTTTGGCATATTGTTTAAATGCAGGCAGGTAGTGTGTAGGACTGTCTCTCGGCCTATTTCTCAAAATACCCCAAGCCGATGTAAAAAAAAAAAAATATATATAAGAAACACTTTTGATTAAGACGTAGCTTCGAATATATCTCTCTACTGTATGTTCGTTATATTTGTTGATATTGTTTTTGCACTCCATTATATTTGAGATTCACGGAGACAAATGTGGCGGTAGTAAGGTTAGCAGATGATAACTTCAAGCAAAATTTCTCTCATCAGCCAAACATCAAGCGCTGATCAAATAATACATATATATATATATATATATATATATATATATATATATATATATATATTTCACACAGCGCTGCCGCTAAGAGGGGACGAATAGAGTTTAGTTCGTAGAGAGAGAGAGAGAGAGAGAGAAAATATACTCAGTTTTGAATGGTGTGAATGTTTGATTTAGATCAGAAGCGGTCGTCCCCCCAAAAATGGGTTAACGGGGGCCACTTTGACCGCGAGACAACTATTCACAGATCTCACGTCATCAAAGCCTAATTTAGAATTTAAAAAAAAAACACACACACACACACAAAAACAACAACAAAAAAACGACGTACACAACTATTTATTCATTCTTAATGCGCACGTTTCTCAAGACATAACACATCTATTCGAGCCGCCTCAAAAACATAAATAAATTGTAGGTATATATATATATATATATATATATATATATATATTTACACAAATATTTATTTATATATATATGCATATATATATATATATATATTATATCTTCATACAACTCTATAATTTAATTGAGAACATGAGGGTTTGAG